ACAAGGTTCCATATCAAACACAAACTGAGGAAAAAAAACTACTGTAGCCCACTAGCACATTCTTTAAAGCTGTTTCCTACTTTGTTGAAAATAAATTTATGACCTAAACATTAGAACTAAAAATAAAAATGCAGCTGAAGCAATCACAGTCTCTTTCAGTCCATGCAGACTGTGAAGTAGAGCAGTAAATTGCTGCAAGAAGACAGAACAGCTCTTAAAACTTGCCCAGCTTCTACTCTGACAAAAGGGATCACTCAGGACCTCAGCGTGCTGGTGCTCTTGTGTTTAATTAACGGACTAATAAATTCACTGCTGGCTCACTCTTTATTTGTCTCTTCTCTTGAAAAACCCCAAACCCACCCGTGGTTTACATTAGGACTGAATACTATTTAGCAGTAGTGCTGCGAGAGCGGTGCTTGTCACCAAAGCCAGGAGGAACTGGGAGCAGCGTCCGCAGGTGCCTTGTGTCCGGCCGGCACTGCGGTCACCCACCAACCTCGGACAAGTTTCGGCGTTTTTAATGCGCGGTTGGCAGCGCTTTTCCTTCCTCTGCCACGGCCGTGCAGTGAGGCCGAGGGACCCACAGCTGGGACGGCTGAATAAACCTTTCAAAGGCTTTTGGCAGCTGCGTCCTGGCGCTCGGGCGAGAATCTTTGCGGCCCCGGGGGCTGATCCAGACCCTCGGCCGGGCGGGTCCGCTCCAGACCCGCCGCGGCCCCGGCCTCCTCCCAGCTGGTGGTGCTGCTTCCAGCCCCGGCAGCCCGGGTCGGGAGCTTCAGGCGGCGGCTGCCTGCCGTCCCGAGCAACCTCTGCAAGGAATAACTCCCGAACCCAATCCGCTCTCCGTTCTCGCACCCGGAGGGGCAGCGCCGGCAGCCTGGCCGGGACGCCCCTCCCGCAGGGCAAAGGCGAAGCAGGCACTTTCTCCCGCTCCTGACCTTCCTGCACCCCAGCTCACCGCCCGCCGTGCCCTGCTCCCCGCTGTGCCCCTTCTCCCCACGGGCTCCACTCAGAGCGGGCCGGGCGCCGACACCTGTGCGCCGGCTCCGTCTCGCCGCCCCGAGAGGGAAGGGAGGCAGGCGGGAGGGAGGGAAGACACCGAGGCCCGCCGGCCAGCACGGCCGCTGTCGCCGTCCGGAGCCGCTCCTCCCATGCAGGCGAGCGGTGGCCGGCCGGGCCGGGGTCCCGGCAGGAGGAAGGCTTACCCGGTGGGAGGCTTGCTGGCCCCGGGGCGCACGAGGGTCTCCATGGCCGGGCCCCCCTCACCACTTCTTAAGGGACGGGCCGGTCCAAGACGAGATCCCGCAGCGGGGCAGCGGCGAAGGTCGGAGGCGGGGGTACCGAGAGGGAGGGAAGAGAGGAGAGCAGAGGAGTGAGAGCCGCCCTCGCCCCCTCCCTCGCCCCCACCTCCCCCGCTCCCCGCCCCGCCGCCGGGCGGCAGTGCCCGGGCCGCCGCCGCCCACGGCTGCCCAGCCCGGCCAAGGGCGGGGATGCCCTGCCAGGGCGGCCCCCGCCCGCCTTACCGGGCCGACAGGGAAGCTACGCCGCAGCGCGGGCACTGACAGCTCGGCTGCCCGGCCAGACCAGGGCAGGGCACGGCGGGGCTCAACTGGCCGCTGCCCGGGCAGCCCGGGGGTGCGGGGGCGCTGCGAACCGGTTTCCATGTGACTGGCCGGCACAAACGCAAACACGACCGCCGCCCCCGCAGGCACTGCCGCCCCCGCCGCCCCCGCCGCGGTGTGGGAGAAGAGGGGATGGGGTCACCGGTGGGGGAGAGGAGCGACAAACGCCCCCGTCAGCGCCAGCTCCGAGAACCCTCCTCCGCCTCTTTCGCCGCGAACTTGGCAAACCCGGTGCTTGCCAGGCGGCTGTGCCCGAGGCTGCGCCCCGCGGGGAACGCAGGCTTTTCCTCAGCCTCATACCCTGCACAGACCCTGGCGCTGCCACTTTCGGCACGTTTCTCGTCATCCCAGTTCTTACAGATGCTTTTTTCTTCTTTCGGAGGCGGCAAAAACAATTACTTGGAAACTACCAGCGGCTTTGATCAAGAAGAGGGGATGGCGTGGCTGACGGGGCAGGCATGGCAAGGCAGGCTTCTCCCGGGTTTTCCTTCCAGCAGTACGAGCCCATCATGAGGAAGGCAGACCCACAGCCCGGGCGGTGCGGGGTGCCCGCTGGCGTAGCCTTCGCGGCAACTCAGGCACCGCGTTGAAAATCTGTGTGTGCTGTTTTAGGAGTATCCCCCTCACGCCGTTTCCCCGCAATATCAACTGTTACGCTTGTGTGCGAAAGGAGAACAAGGCGGGAGGCGGGGGAGCCTGCCTGATATTACTGCGGTACATGCCCGCTGTCCGGCGTGCCCGGCGTTGGGCAGCCTGGCCTCTCGGATGTTTCAGGAGTTTCTCTCCTCTCCAGCCAGCCATTTGCGTTACATTGCTTTCCTGGCCATGGTGGGAGGATGGCAGAGATGGCAGATGGGTCAGGCTACCAGCCAACACAGGGACCATGAGACAGGAGCAAGCAGACTGAGTGACGTGCCTGGGAGAGATTTGGGTGAGGAACTGAGATGGGAACGGGAGATGCTGCCTGACTTGCATTTCTCTTGACTGTCTTTGTGATGGTCCCACAGGTTCTGCTTAATGGTCACTCCTTCCCCCAAACACTTCCATCCCTTCAGGCTTGAGCTTGATGGGCATGTTCTGCCCATCGGAGAGTGTCTTGCCCAATTCAGTAATCAGAGTAATTGCAAGTAGGTTCTTTGGCTCCAAAAGTTAGAGTTTCTTCCTCAGCAAGCAAGACTTGGCGGATCTTGGTCAAAAGCTACATGTGGCTGATAGCATTGCTATCTGGAGAAACCCCTATTCCAGGCTGACTGTAAATGTTTTGAAACATTCAAACATTGGATTAATTTACCAGTAACAGAAAAGAAAAGGACGTGTTCACCTTTTCTGTACTGCACGTTTCTCTACCAAGGCTTTTATGTTATGATCAAAATACTTGTTTCTATGTATTTTACCCCAGTGTCTAACAGACAGGGAAGTACTACTGTATTGTAGTATAACCATCCTTAACTTTATCTTTTCTTTCTTTGACAACCTGAGGTCTTCCCCTAATTCTCATCTCCTCAGCAGAGAGTTGAGAATGCTGACTTCTGTTCTCTTCTCTCCATCTCTGCATATACAGATGGCCTAAGGGCAAGGGAGGCAGTTGGCTGTCCTAGTTGTAGGTAGAGAAACAAAAATACGAATTTGGAGAAGCAAAACATGGATCTCTAATATCCCTGCTACCATGGGTGGAAGTTGACTGAGTTGCCACAGTTCGGTAATTACCCCAGTCATCTGAGCCACATGCCATGGTAATGAGCCACATGCATGATCTTAATCTGAGCCCTTATGAAAATAAATAGGGTAGGTTACATACTTTATTTTACAAGTGGATTGGTTCAGCAACTGTGCGCTGTCACTTACCATAGCTCCAGGAATGAATGGTGATCTGTTAAATCATGGCAACTTGATTTCATAGCTCTGTTCATCATTTATTCAGTCATTTTTCATCTCCCCTTTTTTCCTCGGAAATCTTAATGAACTCTTCCCTATCCTAGAATAGATGCAAAGGCTACACAGGCACCAAACCTCTGCAGAACCGTCCAAACCTTTTCCTGGCTGCATCATTAGCAAATTATGCTGCACCAGTTATTTCAAGAACCTGAAAGAACTTCTCTTGCCTCAGCTGTAACTTTTACTCTACCATGATATACATGAGCAGAGGTGTAAAGCACAAAATAACAAAATAATATTTGCTTATGATGCTCATTTCTTTCTATGTAGCACAGCAAAAGAGTGAAAGCCTATTAATTACCGAACTCACAGCACCAGCAGAAGCAACTGCCCATTCTCCTGTTCTTCAGTCCCATTTGGCTGATGGAAAATCTGGGTAAAATGTGGTGAGTACGCTCTGCGATACAGCATGGGAATCTGCCTTTCTCCAGGCTCTTTGGCATTGGGCCTGGCTCTTAAAAGAAGGGCAAAGGGGGTATTTCTAGTGTGCATTGTAATCCCCACAATCTTGGTGCTATGCTCATTTTTTAGGCGAAGGGCATTACTTTGGAGAGGGGCTGCATGAGTATTTGCCAAGCTCATAAAACGTCTGTGAGACTGGCGTGTTCAACCCCACCCCCAGACTGCTTTTAACCCTTTCATTTCTATATAGCTTCATCTCTGTTTAGATGGGCCTCCTTAACATATTTCCTAAGAAAATTTAAACATTTAGGTGACAAAATCCTTGACGAAAAATAGTTTAGGCCTTTAAAAATATTCACCAGAACAGTTTCACATTAATGCTTTTGTACAGTCTTTAAAACATTATTCCTATATTTCCTCACCTTCACTGCTGGTAGTGAATCAAACCTTTAAGGCTGCATTTTTCTTCTGCTAAAACTGGCCTGTAATATTTCAGGAATTTGAGTTTATAGTATAAGCGTAACTGAACATGTAAGGAATCTAGTAAGATGAGTCTAATACCAAAGAATTTGTTTATAAGGTAGCAAAAAGAGGTTAAAATTAGCTCAGCATTAGCTAACATGCACCAGTTAACCAAGCTTTTTCTCTAGTCTAGCATGTAATCTTTTCCTATGATTCCACTGTTTGAGGACCATCTTAAAATCAGAAACCAGGTTGGACCTTAAAAACCAAAGCAAAAATAACAAACTCTAATTTATAGCAAGAAAAAATTGTGAATAGAAGTTAGTTAGTGTGGTTAGGTTTAGTTAACAGCAAACACACATCTTTAACCACATAAATCCTTTTCCCATTCTCAGCAATCTAGAAGTTGCAATTTAAGCATTAGTCCCTGCAAGAGAGTTGACTTACTGTACAATTGTAAAATTCCTGGCTGTGTAATTAGAGCAATTGGAGCTGTGTAGCCTCAAGCTCACAAAATTCTGTTACTTTGCTATCCACAGCAAAAAAAAAAAAAGAGAAGGGCAGATTTTTCAGAGTTATTTTAAATGTGTCTAAAAGTGGACACATAACTACATAATCCAGACTGAAGCTGATACATCTCTATGATATGGTCACACAGTCTTGAATGTAAGGACCGTAGAACTTTGGGGATTTTGTTTTAAAGGTTGAATATTAATTACATGCTTATTGTTCTTCTTTTTTTTTTTTCACCACAGTTGTTTTCCCTAACATTTTGTTCTATATATTTTGGACAATTGCCCTACAATTTCCTCTCTTTTCTACTATTCCTCCTATGTGCACTTTTTTCAGTATTTGAAACCCGAGACCTAGTCTGCAATTGAACTGACATTAATGAAAGAATATTTGCCTGGACAGACCTAGTGGGCCAAAGCTCATGTTCTTGGGCTTAGCTGTGGTGAGAACCTTCCCAGGCAAGATGCTAATGTAAGATGTTTTCCAAAACTGAAGAGTGGTGTGACTCAAACTCATCTAAACAGTGAGAACATACTTCTCTGAACAGTGTCAGAGAAGGGAAAATATAAAATCAGTTTTCAAGACCATGTCATATTATATGACTTAAAAAAGCCTTTGGAAAATCTTGGCTACCTTACAAAACAAATTTGAACCAAAACACTAACTAATTTGTGTAAGCTCATCTTCATTGTACTGAGCTGGGTAATCCCACTTGGTGTGCTGGTCAGGGTGACCCAGCTACAGCCATTCCTCTCTGTGAGGTTTTTACTCTTTGTTTACCATGCTAAGGAGAGTCTGAGGTTGTGAAAGCAGCATTTCAGAGATGCAATTCACCACCTCACAGGTGCTGGTGCCACTGAAATTCCCTTCATCCTTACCTCTTTCTGTGGTAAGAATGAAAGTAAGTTGTACAATGCTTAGAATTACCCTCTCTTTCAGAATATTTGTGAAAGAGAAGTAGAGATTTTATGCCACTCAGCCCAGCAGAACTAGCAGAAAGGGAAACTTAATGAGGCTTCTGTGAAAATAACTTTCCACAGCTCTGAAAACAGTTCATTTAGAAGTGGCGTGAAGTCTTAGTACAGCACTTTGGCAGGTCGTTTTCCAGTTAGTGGAGTACAGACAGGCCAGGCTTTTGTAAAGTTGGGCAAGACTGACAGGAAGATGGCAGAAGGGACACTCCATGCATGGTCTAGCACCGCAATAAAACAGAAAGCTCCTATGTAAGCAACGGATGTGGTACGATCCCGGTGTTCCTTGTGCAACAAACTGCGTACACAATATCACGTCTCCACCACTGCAACCAGCCTGCACCTCTCCCAGACATTGTACCCAGCTCTCCAATCAGCAGGCACAGTTGGAGCTGAAAGCGATGGCAGTGAGGAGCACCATCTGCCTTTGAAACACTGACTGTCATGTGGGGCTTCAAGCTACTAACTCCTGGAATCGTTCTTAAAGTTAGTGCCAAATGCCCTTAGAAAAGAGTTCTCAAGTGAGCTATGTCTGTACTGAACATTCAATGTAAGGGTTTCTATATCAAGGAGGCTATTTCTGTTATGATATACATAATATAGTCATGCTATAATCAGAAGAATTATATCCACTGACAGTCCTCTCTGTAAATATTTAACACTGTATGAGATAAGCTTTATTAACATTGTCCACGACTATGTTTTAACTCACAGGCTGGGTTAAACTTCTACCACTTTTAAATAGTGGTTTGGTTTTGTTTTTTTTTTTTTCAGTGCAATATTTCACTGAAATTTAGAAAGTTTCCATGGTTAGGAGGTAGTGGTATATCCAGGTTTCATTTTCAAATTTCAAGATGGATAAATTACAACAGAGATTTTGTAGAATTTCATAGTTGATTACATAATTCTCATCTCACACTTGCATTATGTGATGCACCTCTCGGTTAATCCTGCTTGATAGCAACACAAATGAAAACAGGATTTGGTTCTGTGTTTAAATCAAAATTAACATGCTATGCATAAAGACAAATACACATCTACTTATGCAAAGAAAAGCAAAAGTATCAGGCTTGGTGCTGCTACTATTTCTGTTGAGTTACCTAATTTATGATTGCCTTAGTTTACCAACAACTGAAAGCGCACAAAGATGTATATGCATATGGAACTTCACCAATATTAGATTCAACTTATATTCCTTAATTCTTCAGGGAAAAAAGACCCTTTGAGATATATCATCTCCAGAATTCTCCATGAGCCGAACAGGGACTTGAATAGGTGCTTCCTGGTAAATTACTACATGCACTCCCAAAGGCCTACCTTTTACTCATTCCCTCCCCAAATGCAGACCTCATGAACCTGCTGAAATCACTAAATGGTATTAATATGAGACTCATAGCCCTGAAGGATTGAACTTCAGTGGATACTATTATCAGGAAAGCATCTGAAGATGGCAGATGACATCTGACATACATAAAGCCTTATATATAATTCAGACCTAAGTCACAAATATGAGGGAGTAAATAAGAAAATAACTTACCTCCTTACCTTGACGAATTCTTTCTGAACATATTTGGATTGACATCATATGCAATAAATTATTTCTAGCCACCATCATGTCATGATATAATCAGTGGTGTGAAGGGCGGCTTTCCCATCACCTACCCTCTGAGGCCAACAAAGGCTTATTAACTCTCCCTTCGTACATTTTGTAGGCTTTACACTTTGATATCAATAAGTTAAAAGACAGTAATACTTTTCTTTTTGCTGGCATACCTTGAGACTAATCCTGCTGCTTATTTCTTTTTCCAGAAGATAGAGGTTAGCTAGGTATGGCAAAGGAAGAGGAAGGAGATCTTCCAAAGATGTCTGGTTGTACAAATCCTGAAGGCTTGGTCCAAAATGAAGTACACAAGTACACAATTGTTTCACCACGGTGTCATTGGGCAGACATGGTCATGCAGGGACAAGACAGAGTAGCGCTTCTCTCTTCAGAAAGGGTTGTGGTCACCTTCCTCCCCCTGCTCCTGTAAGCAACACATAGTTAGAAACCAAAAAACTCTCCTTGAATTATCAAGGAGGGGATTGGAGAAACTGTCTGGGGTGGAGGAAATATGGGTTATCTGGACAACATCACTGTGCTGAACCAAAGCCAACTGATATTGAGAGATTTTCTACTGATGCCAACTGTTTTTTTCTAAATCTTTTGCATCACTTGCAAGCATGGGCAGTAATGACTGGTGGTTCTACACAACTTTTCTTCTCTCATTTGCTCCCCTCTTTCTTTTGAATGTGAAGTTAATCACCTCTTAAGCCTACCTCTAGCTAGTTGTACTGGTGCTACATGAATCTTCGCAGGAATCTGCTGTTTACTGGCCCCTAAAAGACAACGTGAAGGTAAAAAGTCTGCCACGTGCTTTAAACATCCTGTACCTGACATGATGTGGTTGATGAACCTTTGGAACATTTTTATTTCTCTGTCTTCTCCTGGCTTGCCAGCTTTCCTCACCCTGCAACCTCAGTCAAGGGGAGGGGTATAAATGATTACATAATTAAAATGAAACAACACTCCCTTTCTTCAAGTGAGTCATCTGCAGGTATCCAGAAAATGTACAGCATGAAAATTACCTCCAGTTCAGGGTATTAAGAATACAAAAGTAGCTCCTTAGAGGTATTCTGGAAAAATAAGTATGGATTATATCTAACTTATAAATAAAGAGAACTACTTTCCTGCAGTTCATGGTTGAAGACTAGGATAACCAGATTACAAAGCTTCCAGTGAATTTGCAACACAGGGTGCTACAGTACTGTGTTGCTTCAGGGACAGCCCAGAAAACTGTGATGCAAAGGGCTGTGCTTGGTTCCTCCTCTGGCCCTATGGCAAGAGCTCTCCTGGCAGCAGCTGGTGTCTGCCTCAGCACTTGCTGTCCAGCCTGTTGGCACAGTTTATCTTTCCAACAGAGTGGGAGGTGAGCCAGAGCCACACCTTTTCTCCACCTTCTTCAGCAGAGATGGATGACAAGAGAGGAAAACAATAATCCCACAGAAACCCATCTTTTCTTACAGTGCAAGTATCTATCACAGAAGGGCCTTAGTGGCTATGAAGGGTCTAGGATAAAGACCACAAACTTCAGTAAATGGGCATGTGTCCATAGAGATTTAAAGAAATAAATTGATTTTAAACTTATTCATAAGACAATGCAATACTAAAGGAACCCACAGATTTGCATGCAGTTTTTTCTTTTACTAGAAGATGACAAATAAAGGTGTAAATCCTCCTGAAGTACATTAGACTAACACTTGCAATAACTATGGAGGTGCTTTCACAACCCTGGCCTGTGTTTTAAGTCTGTCTCAAAAGCCCCATTAACTTTAGTTATCGGTACTGAACCAAAACACACATGGCAATCTTCACAAACTTTCACTCAAAATGTGTTTTGGAACCTGTCTGCACCTTACAAGGGAAAATTAAAAGTCAGAGAGTGACATTTTAATTGTTCATATGTACTTTGCATTTTATGTGCCGTACTACCTCAGTTGTTTATAGAGTCATATAATATCCTGAGTTGGAAGGGACCGACAAGGATCATCAAGTCAAACTTCTGGCTCTGGACTGGAACACTCCAAAAATCACATCATGTGTCTGAGGGCATTGTCCAAACACTTTTTGAACTTGAAGGAATTGTCTACTCGAGTCAGACCCTGTGGGTGCACAACAAGGGTAACCAGCTATGGGTCTTGCAGCAACCTCTGCAGCCTAAGTCACTGATTATGTGAAGTTTACTCAGGGTGCTTGGTGTGAGCAGCCTCCTGGTTGTTCTCATCCTTGCACGTGCAGAAGATAACCTTGGGTCCCGCTCCGATGCAGGAACATGGTGGGGTCCCACCTGCAGACATCGTATGTGCCACAGGCAGAAGGTATCCATCCATGCCATCCCCCACAGCAGCCTCGTCTCGTGGCTACTGAAACCACCTCTGTCGGGTTGCCCAATCCCAGCTGAACTGTTGCAAAGCTCACAACATATCTTAAACAACAGGTACAGCTCCAGTGCATGATCACCTCAGTGTAGGTATAACCTTCCTCTTCTCTGAGATTTTAATGTCATAGCATAGGAGAATCTTTGTGCAACTTGAGATGTGGTGCTTTTAACCCCTTGAAAAACAATGGTGTGTGCAAGAGTGACACTGAAAATCCTCAGTACTTTGCTACCATGTTTTCAATTTTAAGGTGATTCCCTATAAAATTATTAAGTACCATTCACTTGCACATTACAATTGTGCTTCCAGACTACTGTCTAATACAGATCTTGATTTGTTACCCTACTACTTTATGAATACCTCATTCCTTCCTGATGATTGAACACTAAACATGTCTAAACCTGGAATTTTCAGATAGATGTAACATAGACTGTATATATAATGTTATGATTCTAGAGTTTTGTTTTCTTTGGGGTGGGTTTTTCTTTGTTTTTTTTTTGTTTTCTTTTGTTTTGTGTGTGTGTTTGTTTTTGTTTTTTTTCATACTGACTTACATGGGCACTCCGGATGCCTGTGACTTCTCCTGAGATCACACTTGAAGAATGGCATCCAGCCCTGGGCCCTCACCACAAGACAGCCATGGACCTGTTGGAGGGAGTCCAGAGGAAGGCAACAAAAGTGGTCAGAAGGCTGCAACACTTCCCTTATGAAAAAAAGTCTGAGAAAATTTGAGATGTTCAGCCTGGAGAAGTGAAAGCTCCTGGAAGATGTTACTGCAGCCTTTCAACACTTGAAGGGGGCTTATAAGAAAGATGTGGACAGACTTTTACCAGGGCCGTGTAGTGATAACACAAGGGGCTAGCAGTTTTAACTACAAGAGAGTAGATTTAGATCAGATATAAGGAAGAAGTTCTCTACTTCCCTACTCACCATGAGGGTGGTGAGAGACTGGAACAGATTGTCCAGAGAAGTTGTTGAGGCCTCATCATTGGAAATGTTCAAGGTTGGATTGGATGGGGCTTTGAGTAACCTGGTCCAGTGAAAGGTGTCCCTCCCAATGCCATATGGGTTGGACTATAGATGACATTTAAAGGTCCCTTCCAATCCAAACCACTCTTTGATTCTTGAATGCCCATGTGAGGATTTGAATATCTGTGGACTCAAGTGAGAATGTGTGATTCATCATCGGCAAAGTAAAGATATTTTAGGTCGACTTGTAGTGGAGCCCCAGGATTCAGGACCCTTATCCCTTATCGAAGTTTTTTCAAGGGAAACAATGTGGCAGATGAGCCAATAAAATGGTTAGGAACTCATCTCTAGTTTAAATTTTATCATAGAAGCTGAAAATTAAATCAGTGGTTCTGCAGTCATCCAACAGTATGATCAGAAAACAGGCTGTGGAAAACTCAGGGGAAGAAATTTTAGTGAGCATGATTTCTCCAACAGTCTTGTGACAATCTGTATCAAAAAAATAACCAATGAAAGTCTTAATAACATTTCAATTATTGGATTAAATCTTGGAAAAGACTAATGATTGAGAAAGGGAAGTGAGCAATTGGCAGGAAAACAAACCCAGAACAAAATAACAAAAATTCCCCAAGGTCTTATTGCAAAATTAGGCTTTTAAATGTTTGTATCCAACCCCCCTCCACTGGGAGGCCCCTGCCCCTGCTCCCTGGAAATGTGGGGCTCATAGTCCCAATATGATTGCTGTGGGAGGAGGGGTCAACTCCTTTCCGAAGGTGGCGAAGTGAGTAGCGTGTCACTACCTCCTGGAAAAGAGAACTGACTGGCTTTATTTTAATCATGATATCTGCCTTTGTAATCACTGCTATGCTTTAAGCAAAACCAAGCATCCTTTTACTTTTACTTCAAATGCAAGTAAAACACGTGGACATGAAAGGAGATGCTCTGGGGAGGCAGATGATGAAAGATCCTGCTAACACCATCATAAAAGCAAAGCTGCAGCAGGAAGCTGAAAGGACGCCCTGGGTGGATTTGTTATCAGACCTTCCAATTTTGAAGAGAGAGAGGTATAAAAATAAGAACAAAGATTTTGAGTTCCTGAGCCCATGGCTGCTCTGATGAGCTGAAGCTATCAGGTTGAACACACCATCAGTGAGATAAGGATTTCAGCCACTTGTGAAGTATTTTTGTCTCTTATATTCCCAGGCATTCTTATTTTAAAAAAAAAAAAAACAAAAGGAAAAACACCTAGGCAGCAGAACGACCTTTAACTCAGTCCCTTTGAGTCCTGAACCTGACGACTGGACCCAAAAATCAAAGAACAATCTCCCCCCTAAACATCTCTGAACCCCAGCAGAGGAGATCCTTTGCCATCCAGTGGGGTGAGGGGGAGGTAAACAGAAAGCCCCAACAGACGTGCCCTAAATATTTCTTTTGTACATTGTGTTACTACGCTCAAGAGGCATTGCTGAGAAATGGAGTTTACAAACTGGGGAAAAGTTTGCAACTATAACAGTGATATTTATAGTTTTCTAATTTTTTTTTGAAACTTTGTGAAATGTATCTGGGCAAATGGCTGTCCCAGCCTAAGGCAACAGCTAATGTCAAGCTCTGTGAGCAAGATTAGTGGTTATGCTTAGCCAGCTTGGCCAGGGGATTCATTCAAGATTTTGTCCTGCAGACTGGATACACATAGGAGGCAGAAAAAAAACATTTTCCTGCCTCTTTGAAGATCCATGTCCAGCTCCCCATTTGGTTCAGTTCAGCCTGCTGGCTGTGGGTAGTTCTCAGTATTAAAGCACTGTAGAAATCCTGCAGCCTCAGGGGTCATGCAGGTGGCTGTGCCAGGTTGGGACCAGCCAACCAAGAGTGAAGGTGCTTTTGGCAGAGCTTCCAGGGCCCACGAAGATGGAGGAACCAGAGGCGCAACCATCAGGGAGCCAAGCACCTACCAAACCATTGTTGTACAGGGCAGTTTATTGCCCAACAAATCTTAGCTTTCACTTACTTTAGATGATGGGAAAAAGTCTACCCTGGAAATTGCTTCCTTGGAGGAAAAAGACTATGAACTGTTATAGTTAAA